GGGGGGGGGGGGGGGGGGGGGCGTCTGGGCATTGCCTTTCGGGGTGTCGACGGTCGGGCCGGACTTGCTGGGCTTCGGGTTGCAAGGATTGAGCAGCTTTCCATTGTGTCTAGGCTTTAGGGCCGTTTTTTGGGGTTTATCAGGGGTTTGGTAGGGGTAGATGTTGAGGAGTTATAAGTTATATTGGTTTAGGGTTTAGGAGGTATGAGGGTCTCTGGTTTAAGGCCCCAGCAGCAAACAGGAGTCCTAAACCCTAAACCCTAAACCCTGAACCCCTAAAAAGGAGTTATAAGGGTTACTGATGGCGTCTGAGATGCCCGCAGGTAAAGAGTTCACGGCACTGGAACCACGGATCCTCAATCCGAACCCCGCGGAGACCCCTTTTTCACCCCGCGGAGACCCCCCCAGCCTTCCACAAGTGATGTAGACCGCCTCAGGTTCCTCTCACCTTGAGAGTTTTATAGGCACAAACCCCCAAGCCCTAAACCCAAAAACCCTAAAACATTAAACCCTAAGCCCTAAACCGTAAGCCCTAAACCCTAAGCCCTAAACCCTAAGCCCATAAACCCTAAGCCCTAAACCCATAAACCCTAAGCCCTAGTATTTTTCACAACTGTCACACTCGTTGCAAGAAGATCAAGTCCCAAACCCCAAGGGCCCAAGGCGTTCGCGCCAAAGCTTCCAGCCAGTCAGAGTCTCAATACTACACTGCCGACACCCTCAACCTTATACCCTATAAGGGTTTAGGGTTTAGGGTTTATAAGGGTTTAGGGCTTAGGGTTTAGGGCTTAGGGGTTCTTATACCCTATAAGGGTTTAGGGTTTATAAGGGTTATATAGACCCTAAACACTGAACGTAAAGGATGCCCTGGCACTATCGTCAGGTGCGGCTCGCATCTCGCCGGCGCGGTGACGCCGACCCGGAGGGTCAGTTCAAGACGTACTGGGAGTTCAGCTCCCCGCTGCGGCAGGTGGGGTTCAGGGCTTAGGACTCCAGGAGTTTAGGGTTTAGGGGTTTAGGGTTTAGGGATTTTAGGGTTGAAGGGTACCTTTGAGGGTTCCATACGCGTGCTACTTACAGCGTCATCTTAGGGGGTTTTAGGGCTTTAGAGGCTTCCCGGAGACTCTGGATAAAAACACATCTTGATGAAGGAGAAGGGCCTTAAGTTATAGAAGGGGTTGCTCGATATGACTTATAAGGTTTCTGCGGAGCTTTCGAGTCTCTATGTTCAGGGGTTTAGGGTTTCGGATGTTCCGATTGTAGAGTTGTTTTGGGGCTTTTTGGGTTCAAGTCTTTAAGGCATTAGTGCAAACAAGGGCGGCCTTTTTTTGGGTTGGACCCCGTGCGACGGGATCTAGACATGCGAGAGTAGCATATATACTCAAGTGTTAAGAAGGATAGATTGAAGAACGGTTCGACCACATAAAGGCTCGATGCTTTGCCAGGTGAAGCCGCATCAGTTCCTGGCGGTGCAGCGCGGAGAGCAACCCGGTCTCTTAGAGTCTGCCGACTTTCGGTTTGGGTTTAGGTGGTTTAGGGTTTAGGAGTGAGAAGCCAAGGCAGAAGAAGTGCCTGAGCTTGACCTTCGCCATCACGGCTGAAGACTCAACTTACTTGCTCGATGCCCTGATGGCCACCTTCCTGGGCGATCGGCCGCGACAGGGCATCGAAGCAACCCCGACGCCCATGAGGGCAGCAGGGGGCCACTCAGGCCTCCCTGGCCGTGCCTGGGGACCAAACGAACCCGAATGTTCTTCATTTCATGTATCATACCTTCATGTAGGGTGTTATATGGGTAGTTGTCAAAATTATGGTCCCTTTTGGGGTACCCTAAATAATAGGTGCCGTATTTTAATAAGGACCCCAAAAGGGACCATAATTTTGACAACCACCCATATGTATATCGGGTATGAGATGCTTCAAAAGGGTCGCTTGGTGCTTCAGGTGCTGCATATCGGGCAGAGATTCGCATGGCGCTGGAGGATGCCTACAAGCGCCTGCTTCTTCCCTTCCTGGAGCGCGAGTGGCGCCGGCGCTTGAAGCAGCAGGCAGAAGACGAGGCTTTCGACACCTATCGCCGGAACCTGAAGAAGAAGCTCCTACTAGCCCCTTTGAGACTTCATCCCGATTGGGGCTATGCAGAAGATTGCGGCTCCCCAGTGTCTGCCGTTCTGGGTGTGGATCCCGCGTTTCGCACTGGCTGCAAATGCGCACTGATCTCGCTGACAGGCCAAGTCCTATCCACCAAGATCCTTGGTCGGCAAGAAAGTTTGCAAACTGTTTCCAATGTGAGTTTGAAAGTCTCCATGTCCATGAATCTATTTCAAGCATGGGCTCAGAAGCAAGGACTGTGTTTCCGCACCCGAACTATGCTGGAGCAACGGTGCCCCTGCCACAGGACCATAAAGCCCGAAGCCCCTACATTCCGGAAGCCTCTCAGCCCTAAGCGCCCAAACCCAAAACCCTAAGCCCTAAACCCTAAACCCTGAATCCCAAAAGAGCCTATGAAACTCTGAACCCCTAGACCCTAAACCCTAAACCCCTAAACCCCTAAACCCGAAACCCTAGACCCTGAAAGCCCTTAGCCACAGGCCGAGACCGCCAGCCGCAACCTCAAAGATCTGCTCGAGCAGGGCCTCGGCTTCAGCGAGGCGCCGGACCCCGAGGCCTTCCTGGGCCGGAATTCGAAGAGTCCCTGTCTAACGCTGAGATCGTTTCATAATAGTTTAGGGTTCAGGGTTTAGGGTTTAGGTTTCAGGGTTTAGGGTTTAGGGTTTAGGGTTCAGGGTTTAGCTAGGATCATTTGATAATACCAGACATACATACATACATACA